GGGGGACCGCGGTGGGGGAAGCGACGGTAGAAGGAGACGGACTCGTCAAAGGTGACGTCGCGAGAGTGAAAGAAACTGTGAGACGGCGGGTGGTCGAAGTGCCAGTCGGACGCGTCAAGGGGAAAACCTAGGAAGACGCCAGGAAGGGTGCGGGCAGTGAGATTGTCCGTGCCGGAGGCACGAACGTGAGCAAGGTAGCCCCAGACGTGGAACGCAGTCGCGTCACCAAGTGACCCAGTCCAAAGACGGGTCGGCGAAACCCGCGGCTGCTGGGGGTGCGGCCACAGGTTAACCTGGTGAGAAGCGTAGTGCACGGCGAATATCCACAGAAAATGGGGTGCACAAGCATGGATCATGGAGGTGCGATCAACCTCCATGACCAGGCCGATGCGTCGCTCAGCGACCCCATTTTGCTGTGGGGAGTCCGGCAGGGTGAACGTCTGGGTGATGCCCTCCGCATGACAGAAGCGACCAAGGACACCTGAGGCAAACTCGCCACCACGGTCGGAGTGAAGACGCAAGACAGGGAGACCTCGGTGGACACGCGCAGAGACAAGCCAGGGGATGAGAGCGTCAGGCATGTCGGCCTTCCGCTCCAGGGGAAAGACTGTGGTGTAGCGAGTGAAGTCGTCGACAAGCACGAGGAAGTAGCGTTTTCGACGCGGTCCATGGACGGGGGCAGGGCCCCAGACGTCCATGTGCAAGGTCTGCAGCGGCGCGGCGGTAGGGGGAAATGAGGAGGAGTGAGGGACACAGCGAAGCCGACCCTCGACGCAAGGCGTGCAAGGTGGGGCAGGGGAGGAGGGAAAAGCGGGGAGAGAACTAGGGAGACCAAGGACGAGACCGTGCTGGGACATGTGACGCAGACGCGGGAGCGCAGGGTGACCTAGGCGGTGGTGCCAAAGGAGACTCGGGTGAGTGAGGGACCGACAGGAGCAGGCAGCAGCAACCTGGGTAGTCGCAGCCAGCTGAAGGGGCGCCCCAGCCGGGGTGGTCACGGTGTCCAGGGTGAACAGGCCGGACACCGGGTCCCGGGGAAACGTGGACAGGGGGGCACCTATGGCGGCCTCGGTACATACAGCATACCGCTCGTGACCAGGGAACGTAGTGGTGACACCAAGGTCGTGGAGGCAGCCGACACCAACTAGGTTCCTGGAGAACGAGGGGATATGCAGACCTGTGAGAGAGCCCGAAGGAACCGCCGGACAGGGAAGGGTGGTGGAACTGCGGGCGACTACTGGACCGCCGGAGGGGTCAGCAAGAGAAACGGCAGCAGGAACAGGAAGCGGAGTCAGTGTAGTGAAGTCGCGGAAGAAGCACCGGGAAGCGCCAGAGTCCAAGGTGAAGGAAAGCGAAGCAGGGGCGTCTGGCGACGGGGCGACGGCGGAAGCACCAAGGCTAAACAAAGCAGGGGCTCCTACGCCTGACGCAGCAGGGGAGGCTAAGTTAGGCACACCTACACTAGACGACAATGAGTAATAAGCGGGAAGCACACTAGAGTCATCAGCATACATCACATGCAAAGCGGAAACTATGGCATCCATGTCCATGTCAAAAAGTTGAATCCTACGACTAAGCAAACTGTGCCAGTCCGGGAGGTATGGCGACGGGCCAAAGCGCTGACGAAACAGGTCGTCCAGGCGACGAAAACAGCGAGGAGTGGTATGACCGATCTTACCGGAAACGAAGCCGCGGCGAGGACCGGTCTGGATCTAGTACTGACAACGCACGCCTCCCGAGCCACCACCCGGCACACCACCACATGCACGACCACCTCCAGCGCCAAGCCACCCGGGCGGGAGGACACTCGCCTGCCTCGTCTGCGGCGGCTGCTGCGACTACTGCGGCTGCTGCGACGGCTGCGACTGCTGCAGCTGCTGCTACTGCTGCTGCAGAGGCGGCTGCTCAGCTGAACGGGGCAGGGTCCCCTCGACCGCTCCAGTACCAGACGACCCGACTCCACCACCACCCCCGCCTGCATCCCCTCCTCCTCCGCTGCGCCCAGCCTTGGGGCGGCGGCCCTTCCCCGAACTGAACAGCGCTGCAGCAGCGGTCTCAGCCACAGCGGCAGAACCGTCGGAGAAGGTACACTGAGCGGGGGCACAATCCTGAAAGATAGGGACCGGCACAGTACCGCTTGCCTGGGCGATGGAGCGGTGGCGGGTCTCAATAACAGTCAGGGTGTCTACAAAGTCGGTGAGGGTGAGCTCACCGGGGTGAATGCTAAGGAAGCGGTCGCGGGCGGCGGCAAGGCGGTCAGGGAGGCGGGTGGCAAGCAGGTAGAGGGTAGAGGTAATGGGCGGCTGGTGGGCTCGAAGCTGTGCGTCAGTGCAGGCAGCGCGCCAGGTCTCATCTATCGTGCGCAGGTGGGCAGCTAGGTCCGTGATAGTGGGGAAAGACGCAAGATCAGGAAAGAGCATCGGAAGGATGAGACGACCCACCAAGGCCGTAGGAGGGGTGGAATAGCGCTTGATGACAGCATCTAAGAAAGCCAGGGCGGTAGTGATGGACCTAAAGCGAGGGCGCTCAGACCGGGGAAGGGCATTGCTAATGGCAAGTTGGGCGACAGCGTCTCGGGAAAGCCAGACAGAGCGCGCAAGGGCAGCGGCTGCAGTAGACTCGCGCTCAGCGGGTGTGGGGTCAGCGGACAGCACAGCAGGGGGGTCTGGGCAGGGGAGCGTACCGTCAAGGTGTGCAGAAAGCGGGTGGCCATCCTGCCGCTGGCGAGTGAGGTGGCGGCGGAGGTCAGCGAGCCACGCCTCGAACTCCAGAGGCTGGCCGTCAGCGTCGAAACGAAGCTCCGCCGCCATCAGGAGCAGTGCAGGACTGTATAGGTTGGTATAGTGTGGTGCAGTGCGGTGGAGTGCGGTACAGGGCGGTGCAGTGCGGTATAGTGTGGTGCAGTGCGGTGCAACGCAGTGCAGTGCGGTGCAGCGCGGTTGAGTGTGTTGCAGGGCGGTGCAGTGCGGTACCGTGCGGTGCAGGTGAGAGGGAACTGTACCAGGAGGGTGCAGGGCCGGAGCAGGCACGACGAGCGGGCCGCACACAGCTCGGTGCAGTACAAGCGCGGGGGCCAGGAGCAGCAGGCACCAGGCCGGCGGGACAAGCGCAGGGCCGACGGGGCGGGCGCGGGGCTGGCTGGGACGGGCGCGGGGTCGGCTGGGACGGGCGCGAGGCCGGCTGGGACGGGCGCAGGGGCCGAGCGGACGGGCGCGGACGTTGCGAGGGCGGGCGCGGGGCCGGCTGGGACGGGCGCAGGGGCTGACGAGGACGAGTGCAGGGGCCGCTAGGGTGAGCGCGGGGGCCGCTAGGGCGGGCGCTGGGGCGGGCACGAGGGGCCGCTAGGGCGGGCACGAGGGGCCGCTAGGGCGAGCGCGGGGGCCGCTAGGGCGGGCGCTGGGGCGGGCTCGAGGGGCCGTTAGGGCGAGCGCGGGGGGCCGCTAGGGCAGGCGCTAGGGCGGGCACGAGGGGCCGCTAGGGCGGGGCACGGGGCCGGCTAGGGCGGGGCGCAAGGGCGGGCACGGGCGAGGGGCCACTAGGGCGGGGCGCTAGGGCGAGCACGGGCGTGGGGCGCTAGGGCGGGCACGAGGGGCCGCTAGGACGGGCACGGGCGTGGGGCCGAGAGGGCGGGCACGGGGGCCGCTAGGGCGGGCACGGGGCCGGCTAGAATAGGCGCTAGGGCCGAGGGGAGGTGGCGCGCGGGGCGCGTCTAGGACAGGCGCGACTAGGGCGGGCGCGACTAGGAGGGGCGGGAAGGTCCGAGAGCGGAAGCGTGGGTGGGCGGGGACCTACCTACTACTGATACGATCTTAAAATTGAATGAATGATTAGTGTGAGAGAGTACAGGTGAATATATCTAAGTGTTGTACCCTCTAAGAGATGATCCTATACAGTCTATGCAAACATAAGAGATACACATGTTTGACAAGGAGGGGCCGAGCGGGCGCGAGGAGGAGCTGGGCGGGCGCTAGGAGGGGCCACGCGGGCACGGGAGCCGGGCGGGCGCTAGGAGGGGCCACGGGAGCCGGGCGGGCGCTAAGGGCCGGGCGGGAGAGACGGGCCAGACGGGCGCTAAGGGCCGGGCCAGCGCAATGGGCTGGGCGGGCGCGTAGGGGCCGGGCGGGTGCTACGGGCCAGGCGAGCGCGAAGGGTCGGGCGGGTGCTACGGGCCGGGCGGGCGCTAGGGCTAGGTAGGGGGCGAGAGGCTAGGGCGCGGGTGGAAGCGGGTGGGTGGACCTAACCTACTCGTGATACCATGTTAGAGTGCAAGAATGATTGACTAGTGCGAGAAACCTAGAGCATATACCTGTGGGGGTTGTACTCACTAGAAGCACACACCTAGGCTAGCCTATAACGTCTACATATAGCTTATTTATAAGTTGACACCCCCACCCCCCCCCTCCCCCCTCACCTTCCCCAACCCGCGCACGAGCAAATTCGCTGCACGTTTGTTTCACATTTCACCTGCCCTTCTTTCATGAAGCACCGCATTGCACCGCATTCCACTTCGAACTCAAAATTGAACTTGCTAAGAATGCCAAGAGTTAGACAGGGTGGCAAAAAATCTACACTTTCAGCTAGTAAGAGTTTAAATTTGTTTACCTTGCCAAATCAGACTTCGGAAAACTTTTACTCTAGACGTCAGGGTTGTTGGAAATATCTCAAGGACTTAAGCGTTTCTGAAGTGTAACACTACACCCGAGGAAAGTCGTAACGGGTACGCGAGTCAACAGAGGTTACATGAGGGGATGGACAAAGAACACGAAAGGACTCGAAGGGTCGCAACCGGAGGTTGCGACTGACCGTTACAACTGCAATGATGGTAACAGAACCGTCAATCAAGTCGATGTGCGACTCGATAAACTGCTCTTTTAACTGTATTCTACAACTTCTTTACTTTCCTACTTTCTATTTATTGCTGTATGCTTGTTTCTTTTAATCAATCACTTGTTCTCACATACTAGTACAAGGGTTCAACTAGTCAAATTCCGCTGCAGTACTCAAAGTCTTCTTTTACAACTTGGACTTAGTCTCTGAAAATATCCTAAGGGCTTTTCGCAGCCCAACATGGTATGAGAGCTGGTCAGAGACCAAACTCCCAGCAACTACGCTCTATCTACAATCAGCACACCAACGACTTCATTGATTACAAGTCATGGACACCAAGGGCAAGAAAACCTCTACGGGCTCACCCAGTGCCTAAGACACTCAACCCGGCAACTCTGGACTGCAAACCGAGACCGGCGCTGCTCAAGAAACAACAGGAAGAGCACCACAAATGGTGACCCCATAACCCTCCTCAAGCGTGGACCCGAACCTTATGGAAAGGTTCTTCAGCTTCATGTCGCACTTCGACCAGCAGCAGCAGACAAGGACACCTGCTCATTCAACACAGAGCAACGGAGGAAACATGGGATTAGCGTCGATGAGCCTCGACAACTCATCGTTCGGGCGACACAATCAAGCACCTACCTTTGCGCCTTATCACTCTTCACCGAAGACGTTCGAGTTCATGCCGCCCCGTGCCCAACCAATAGCAGCTGCATCACAACAGACACCAAACGAGATTTTAAGTCTCCAGGCGCAGTTTTCACACGTGATTAAACTGCAGACATCCTCACCGTTCAACGGACACGACTTTTTTACTTGGAGCTTTGAGTTCGAGCTGCTGATGGAGGCTGCACGTATCAATCGCTGCTGGCGTACACAGTTCTCCTGCGGAACCTGTCACCACAAGAACAGCAAAGCATCAGAACGTATCGGAGCTATGGAAACTCCGCGGAACTCGCATGGCATCACCTCAAGTGTCTCTATCAAGCAAACGACAGCGTGACACAAAACAGACTCATGCAGCAGCTGACAACAATACAGATGAAGACCGGGGAAAAGGCGATGCAGTATATGAGTCGATGCCAGACACTCCGCGACCGCCTGCTTCGGTGCGGAGGAACAATCACTGAAGAAAGCTTCGTGACGCTTGTCCTCGCTGGGCTCGGGCCAGAATGGAGAACCACCCGCTCGCTCCTTCGCGCCCACGGACGAATCTCGGAAATGCACCTCTTCGCCGAGCTCCATGCTGAACAACAGGAAATGGACCTGTTCTAAGAAAGGCAACCAAGGAAACAGCAACCATTAGTCTTCTACACTCAACGAAGGAACGACAACTGCAACCGACGCGGCAAACAAGATCAACGCAACAACAGAGGACTCACCATTGTGCCGTCGTTCTGCCACAAGTGCCAAACATCCGGACACTCCAAAGTCAACTGTACACGTCCCCGAGCTTATCGTCCAGTAGACCCACAAGTCGCCTCCACTCAAGAAAGCCCGCCGAGGCGCTCCTCCACATCTGCACAAGGTACACCGAACATCATCAACTGCATAGTACACATCGACAACTGCGCACCCGAATCATCGAAAGAACACGAGGGGACGGACAAAGAACACGAAAGGACTCGAAGGGTCGCAACCGGAGGTTGCGACTGACCGTTACAACTGCAAGGATGGTAACAGAACCGTCAATTGAGTCGCTGTGCAACTCGATAAACTGCTCTTTTAACTGTATTCTACAACTGCTTTACTTTCCTACTTTCTATATATTGCTGTATGCTTGTTTCTTTTAATCAATCACTTGTTCTCACATACTAGTACAAGGGTTCAACTACTCAACTTCCGCTGCAGTACTCAAAGTCTTCTTTTACAACTTGGACTTAGTCTCTGAAAAGATCCTAAGGGCTTTTCTCAGCCCAACAAGGGTGAAAGTTTTTTTGTACTCTGATTCCTAAGAGTGGCCTAAAACCAATTTTGGGCCCTGTGACAACTTGTCAAAATTTAGGTTGCGTTCTGCAACCAATCATCGAACAAGATAGCTAACTTGGTTTGGTTTTTTCCGAGTCTTGGGTGCTAATCACCGAGCCTAGATAAGGCTCGGTGATCAGCGAAGCTTCTGGATCATGAATAACTTGTCTTTCCCTTGCAGAACAGGGTCCTTGCCTTTCCCTTCATCTTTAGTCTGGAGGAGCCTCACTGCTGGTAGATAAGCGAGAAAGAAAAATATGGATACGTGGAGAAGTGGGGTATCGATCCCCATACCTCTCGCATGCTAAGCGAGCGCTCTACCATCTGAGCTACATCCCCATGTCACTTCGTAGAGTAGTTATAAACTCTTTATATTTTTATGCCCATAAGTTGTTCAAGGTTTTCCCTGTAAGCCTCTGATTTCTATTCCTGCTCAATCCATTGTTGAATGTGCGCAAGATGTACACCCCTGGTCACACTCACTCGCTATTCACCCTCCATTCTTCCCAACTCGCCTTCGCTCTATACTCCCGTCCCCTCATCCTGTTGCTAGTTCCCCTTACCAGCCTTCACACTTTCCTTCTTCCCCTCCCCTCCCCCCATTGCCTTCGTCACCTGCTGTGCTGCCTTCACTCTGTACTCTGTTTCTGGCCGCCGACAGATCTTACGCAGTGGGACCACCTCCTGTCAACAAGGGGAGAAAGGAAAAGGGGAGAGAAGGGGATGTGAAACACATGTCCATATCACTTGCTGTGCTGCCGAGGGGCACACAAAGTGCCAGCAAATAATCATGCGCAATGGGGCCACCTGCTGTTTATGAAGAGACGGGGACAGTGAGAAAGGGTATGAACAGGATCGAGAACGCGTGCGTCTCACCCAGGGATTGTCGTTTGATTCGACTCAAAAGAAACCCAGAAGCTGCATCCGCAACCCCTCACATCGTGCCTCCTCTGCTGGAAGTCCCTCACATGTAAGACACGGCAGCGCGCACATGTGCACCCACCTTGGTATTATCATGTCTGTATCTGAGTCGACTCAAAAGTCACCTTGGTATTATCATGTCTGTATCTGATCCAGTGGCTTCCCCGCACATGGTCTCTTACGTCCGCGTCGAAACAGAGCAACCCAGAAGCAAGTGGCACGCACGCGCGCACACACACACACACACACACTCACTCACCTCAGTGTTGTCATGCCGGTATCGCACCCAAAAGCAGCTCGACACCCTCGCACATCGTGCCTCCTCCGCTGCACGTCCCTCTCATCTCCATGCACACATGCACCCACCTCGGTATTGTCATGCCGATAACGGACCCAGAACCGGCACCGACACCCCCTCACATCATGCCTCCTCCGCTGCACGTCCCTCACATCTGCGTCGAAATACAGCGCCTGGTCAGAAGCTTCCTGGAAGCAGAGCACGACGTCCCCTGGCAGCACGGCTACGCACTCGGAGCCCTCGCAGGGGAGGGAGCGCGGGCGTACTGACAGGCGGGCCGACACCCACTCGTCTTCTTCATCTGCGAAGCCAAAGAAACGAACCAATACTTGCTGCAGATCAAGAGTGGGGGTACGGGGGGAACGGGATAGGAGCAAGGGAGGAAGGGGAAGAAGGGGGAGGAGGGGGAGGAGGGGGAGGAGGGAATGGGGGAGTGATCGGGAGGAACAGAGCACGACGTCTCCAGGCAGCACGGCTACGCACTCGGAGCCCTCGCAGGGGAGGGAGCGCAGGCAGGCCAAGAGACTGGCCGACACCCACTCGTCTTTCTCGTCCGCAAAGCCAAAGAACCGGACTAGTACTTGCTGCATAAGAGGGGATGAAGGGGGGGTGGGGTAAGGGAGAGGGGATGGGTAAGAGAGGGGGGGTGGGGTAAGGGAGAGGGGATGGGTAAGAGAGGGGGGGTGGGTTAAGGAAGAGGGGATGGGTTAAGGGAGGGGGGATGGGGTAAGGGAGGGGGAATGGGGTAAGGGAGGGGGGATGGAATTGGGAAGAGACCGAGAGGGAGAGAGCGGACCGATAGGCGAGCCGACACCCCCTCGTGCTCCTTGTCTGCAAAGAAACGAACCAGCACGAGTGAGAATGCGACACCCACTCAGCACGACTCCCACTCAGCACGCCACCCACTCAGCATGACACCCACTTAGCATGACAACCACTTAGCATGACAACCACTTAGCATGACAACCACGTAGCATGACAACCACGTAGCATGACAACCACTTAGCATGACAACCACGTAGCATGACAACCACGTAGCATGACAACCACGTAGCATGACACCCACTTAGCATGACACCCACTTAGCATGACAACCACTTAGCATGACAACCACTTAGCATGACAACCACTTAGCATGACAACCACTTAGCATGACAACCACTTCCTGCAATGAGAGAATGCGGGTTCGGGGAGAGGGGGGTAGGGGGGGAGGGGGGGGATGGGAGGGGGGTTGGAAAAAACACAGCAACACACTCCGACCCCTAACAAGGAACGTTCTATTTCCTTGCAGGGGAGGGGAGTTGCTAAGGGCGTGTCCCGTGCGTACGTTTCTCCCTTAAAACCCTACCCAACCGTTTCACGTCGTTCTATGAACTCTCTGACTCGCAGAGCATCTCACCCAACCGCAATCAAACATACGCATGGGACACGCCCTAATTTCCGACCCAACAACCTCATTGACTCACCTGATCCACTTAATGGCTCATTTAGCCCTTTGCTGACTCACCTTATCATCTTGCTGATTCATTTAGTCCCTTAGCTTACTCGGCCGATCCCCTTGCTGACTCACCTCTTCACCAGATTCTGTTTTCCGATGTGCCAAGAGGCTTGCCACGTCATACCTTGATTTGGCATACGAATGGGTAGGAATGGGTGGGAATGGGGTGGGAATGGGTGGGAATGGGGTGGGAATGGGTGGGAAATAGCGGAAATGAGAGAAAAAAGCCGGAAGGCATGGGGATAAACTGGTGGAAGCTCGAAATGCGAACCAGGCTACATGCCATGCAACATGCTGCATGAACCAGTCCGAGATCACAATGGACCTTCTAAGTTAGGGTAAACGCATAGCATGCCCGACTACTACCACGGACAATGTACCATGAACCATTTTGCACCGCGCAACGCCTTACCAGGCACCGTCTCGCGCGGATCTCGCTTCATACTCCATCGCACTACAGCAGCAGCTATTCGGCCAGGAGTTAAGAATAATACGAACCACACCAGTTATTCGGCCAGGAGTTAAGATTTGTACGAACCCCACGAGTTATCGGGTCAGTGGTAGCTCTGTCTGCAGCTATTCAGCCAGGACTTCAGATTTATACGAACCGCTGAGGAGATTCAACCACACGAGCTGCTGTCACTGGTACTACACCAGGCGTACAGGGCTGCACTGCTCGCTATGTCAGGCCAGGAAGTATCTAGAACTCGTTCCGTAGAGTCATGACATCTCGTCTAACTGCGATGTTATGTAACGTATCGGGTCGTCTCGTGTGTAAAAACGGCCGAGGTCGCAGCGCGAATGGTGGAATACAGGAGAATCCAGTGCGCAACAGACGCTCAGAAGAAGGGTTGGGAAAAGCAAAATGGTAGCTGAAGAAGAAATAACATTGCGTATCCGGGGAATCGAACCCCGGTCAGTACCGTGGGAGGGTACTATGATACCACTACACTAGATACGCATTTGATACGAGCACCCTTGGGTTTTTTTAACAATAAATATTATTTTCAGCAGCTACAAATATTCAGTTGAGTCAATCATGCAAGTGAGAACCATCAGAAATGCTTTTACTAACAACACTATCTACATGCTATAGCATCGTAAGCCCGTGCGGTAGTGGTGGGAGCAAACCCAACACCACCAGCAATCGAGCAGTCAAGAACACAACATAAGCCGCCACAAGAACAATCCCCGTCCTCTTATCCAGCACCACCACCCCTCCACTCCCCCAGTCCCCACCACTGCTCCCCCCACCACTGCTCCCCCCCCTACTGCTGCCAAACTCACTGCTTCTTACATTCCCCCCACCGGCTACTGCTGCTCGTTCCCTCCCTCCGCCAACTCCACCCCTTCCTCCTCCCCCATCCCTTCCTAGTGCCTCCTCTCCTTTACTGCTCCAAAAGCCAAGCCGAAGCACCACGAAAAGCAGCACCAGGAACAGAAACCCTAGGGTGGACAGCAGGGTGCGATCCACAGGAACAACGTACGGCTCAGGGTACCGAGACCAGCACGCTAGGACCAACGACAAGCCGAGCCCGACTAGAGTGTTGAACAGCGGGCCAGCGAAGCAGCCTGACCAGGCGATTTGCAGTCGGGATTGTTCGCCGCTAGCCGCGAAGGCTAGATTGGCTACTAGGTCGCCGATCGAGTTACCCCACGCGAGGACTGTTAACGCCAGAATCGGAGGGGAAATTCCAAAGATTACACCCAGAGCAACGAGGAGGGCGACTAGCTCATTTGCTAGGGCGTAGAACCAGACAACGGACATGGCAAACCCGGCAGTCACCCAGAGAAAAGAGGGTAGAAAGGACTGGGGGGGGCTTTCCTCGTCTGTGGTGTAGTATGTGAGGAAGGCGAGGAAAACGCCGAGGGAAGCAGCGAGAGAGAAGAGGAGGAGGCCGGAGTCAGGGCCCAGTACAAAGGTGGTGAAGAGGAGGGGGGAGAGGAGGGAGGAGGCGACTGCGAAGGGTTTGGACCACTCGTCTTTATGGTGGACCGGGATGGAGCAGAGGAGGGGCAGCGTGAGCGGGAACTTGATGAAGTACTCGCAGAAGCCGGAGAAGGTCCAGGGGCGCTGGGTGGTGCAGTTTGGTGGAGAGGGTTAGGGAGGGATGGGGTTGGGTTGGGTGGGGTGAGGTGAGACGAGGTGGGTGTGGGAGAGGGGTTAGGGGGTGGAGAAACTAGTACACTACATGTTTGTTTGAAGGTTGCACAAAATCAAGCACCTGGCCAAGCACAAGCACCCAGACCAGACCTACTCAATCACTCACCAGCTCAGGGTCCTCCATCTCCTCATCATACCCCCACAGCGGCTCCGTCAACTCGTCCGTTACGCTCGAACCCATGCGGTTACCACTAGCACGTGCAGCAGCAGCAGCACCGGCAGCGGCACCAGCACCAGCAGTATCAGCATCATCAGCACTAGCGAAATCAGCCGAGGCAGTAGAACGGAGGACAGGAGCGGGAGTGAGAGAAGGGAAGGGCGAGGAGGAGAAGGGAGGAGACGAGAGCAGGCGGGGCGGCAGCACCACAGAGCAGCTGCCAGCTGTCACGTCCTCAGCCTCCACGTGGCCAGGTGGCGCGTCGCTATTGGCCGAGCCCTCCCCGGACAGGGTGAAGGGGAGGTAGTGGTGGGGGTGCAGATAGTGGTGGGTGTGGAGGCGCGAGTGGAATAGAGATCGCTCGTGCGTCCATAACCAATGCGGTATGGCGGCTTGAGAAACTGGGGTATATGGTGGGGGGTGGGGGAGGGGGGAGGGGAAGGAGGGGAAGAGAACAATGAAGGGGAGGATGAAGGGGAGGTAGTGGTGGGGGTGCAGGTAGTGGTGGGTGTGGAGGCGCGAGTGGTATAGAGATCGCTCGTGCATCCATAGCCAATGTGGTAGGGCGGACTGTATCGGAATGGGGAGGGGAGGGGAGGGAACAGGGGGGGTAGGGGTGAGGGTGCACGTAGTGGTGGGTGTGGATGGCTTGTGGTCGACAGCCAATGAGGTAGGGTGGCCCGAGACACTGGGGGGTGCATGATGTGAGGGGGGATGTGGGGGGGGAAGAGGGATAGGAGAAAGACAGCAGGTAGTGGTGGGTGGGAGTGCAGGCGAGTGGTAGAGCGACCGCTCGCTCGGTAGGGTGACTTGAGATACTGCAGGTGGTACTTGGTGGAAGAGGCAGTGTAGCTTTGAGGCGCCTCAAAAGTAGTTTTGAGGCGCCTCAAAAGTAGAGCGACCGCTCGCTCGGTAGGGTGGCTTGAGATACTGCAGGTGGAACTTGGTGGAAGAGGCAGTGTTCGGTGTGTGAGGCAGCGCGCAGGCTGATTGTGCTATGTTTTTTAGAATTCAAAAAAAATACAACACAGGCTGAGCAAGCCAACGCACAACATATGCACTTGAGAGGATGTTAGAAGATGTTAGAGGATGTTAGAGTGCACTTGTGCATTGGCTGCCTTTTGATGCGGAGCTGGCAGCATGCAGGCAGGGCGAGAGGGCGACAGCTAGGCAGTAGGCGGGTAGAGGGCGTGGAAGAGAAAGCAGGAGGGAGGGAGAGGAAGGGGGAGGAGGTAGTCTCTGAAGAACGGACCTGAGCGCCTTATGAGTCGACTCAAAAGGAGAGGAAGGGGGAGAAGGTAGTCTCTGAAGAACGGACCTGAGCGCCTTATGAGTCGACTCAAAAGGAGAGGAAGGGGGAGAAGGTAGTCTCTGAAGAACGGACCTGAGCGCCTTATGAGTCGACTCAAAAGGAGAGGAAGGGGGAGAAGGTAGTCTCTGAAGAACGGACCTGAGCGCCTTATGAGTCGACTCAAAAGGAGAGGAAGGGGGAGAAGGTAGTCTCTGAAGAACGGACCTGAGCGCCTTATGAGTCGACTCAAAAGGAGAGGAAGGGGGAGAAGGTAGTCTCTGAAGAACGGACCTGAGCGCCTTATGAGTCGACTCAAAAGGAGAGGAAGGGGGAGAAGGTAGTCTCTGAAGAACGGACCTGAGCGCCTTATGAGTCGACTCAAAAGGAGAGGAAGGGGGAGAAGGTAGTCTCTGAAGAACGGACCTGAGCGCCTTATGAGTCGACTCAAAAGGAGAGGAAGGGGGAGAAGGTAGTCTCTGAAGAACGGACCTGAGCGCCTTATGAGTCGACTCAAAAGGAGAGGAAGGGGGAGAAGGTAGTCTCTGAAGAACGGACCTGAGCGCATGAATGTAGCACGCCTATCAGACAGACCTGATGGCATGCACTGCGAGACCGCGACAGCTAGGCAGTACGCAGGGTAGATGGCGAGGAAGAGGAGGGCGTGCGGCAGATGCACGGTGCGCTGCCACACCAGCAGGGACAGGGCCTGGGGGGGGGGAGGAAGGGGGGCGGGGAGAAAGGGGGAAAGGGGGGGTTGTGGGGGGGGTGAGAGGCAGTAGGCGGGGTAGAGGGCGAGGAAGAGAAGGGCGTGGGGCAGATGCACCGTGCGCCGCCACACCAGCACGCACAGGGCCTGCAGGAGAGGGAGCAGAGGTGAGGGGGGGGATGAGAGACAAGTAAGAGCGAGGGTTATGGCGAGGAAGGGGAGGGCGTGGAGCAGATGGGTGCGCCCACACCAGCACGCACAGGGCCTGCGGAAGGGGGAAGTTTTGGGGTAGGGGGGGGTGGGGGGGGGAAGCAGGTGTTGATTGGTGAGTAGATTCAGATCAGACATATAGATGTGAGGCCGGTAGAGCCTGACAGGGGGGGCAGATGAACAGTGCGCTGCCACTGTGCTGCCACACCAGCACACAGCCCTAAGCCAGCCTGCAGGGGAAGGGGAGGGAGGAGGTGGGTGAGAGAGAGGTCTATTTTTTAGGTTGCCTCCTCACGCTGCCTCAAAAATGGACTCCTCACGCTACTGCCACGCCGGCACTCAGCCGGCCAGCAGGGGAACAGGAGGGCGGAGGTGGGTAAGAGAGAGGTTGGCGTGCGTGAGTGAGTGAGGGTGGAGTGGAGCAGCAGCAAGTTGCGACAAAATCGAGTGTGCGGAATGGTGACAAATCGTGGTTGGAGAAAAAGTGTGACAACAGTGAGAGGTGGCTCAACAAGGGCAGAGAACGCACCGTGGCAGGAAGGAGGAAGGCGAAACCTCTTAGAAAGGATGACCTGTGCAACTGGGCTGGGGAGTCTCAACAAGAACACGCACCTAAACCTTGTGGAAGACACGGGCTTCCTGGTTTGTAAGGGACGCAGGTTTCTGGTGCAAAGACACGAGGTTTCTGGTTTGTGAAAAGACACGGGGTTTGTGGCTTGTGAAAAGACACGGAGTTTGTGGTTTGTGAAAAGACACAGGGTCTGTGGTTTGTGAAAAGACCCACCATGACAGCAAGGAGTAGGAAGGTCAAATCCGTTATTTATAAGGACTAAAAACAACAGGGGCTGGATACTCCCCCCGTTCTTATCACAATAAGTCTTGCTCAGAAACGCACCGTGACAGCAAGGAGGAAGAAGGTCAAATCCCTTATAAAGGACGACCGGTGCAACTGGGCCCTGGGGGCCTTGCTGGCCGCTACCAGACAAACGGAGCCAGCCACCACAGTGGAGACAAAACATGCCGCCCCCAGAACTCCATTAAAGCCCACCAGGCTCTGGTGCCCTTTTCCCACAAACGCAACCACGCTGCAACAGAGGGAGAGAGGGACATAGAAGGGAGAAGAGGGCAATGAGTGCGTGACGGAGGTGCATCAGGGTAAGGAGTGGAGAAGGCAACGGAATGGGGGGGGAGGAAACGGAATTAGTGGAGAAGGAAACGGAATGGGGGGGGAGGAAACGGAATTAGTGGAGAAGGAAACGGAATGGGGGGGGCTAATGACTTTTCCCACAAACGCTATCCACTGAGAAGTTGAGTGTTTTGGGTAGGGAAGGTGTAATTTGAGTCAACTCAAAATGCAGCAAGCTCGGAGCTTGCTGCTACCCAACCCGACTTCCCAGTGGAGGGCCTGACGACCTTCTCCCACAAACGCCACCACGCAGGAGGTGAGGGAGAGAAAGAGGAGAAAGGCGAGAGGAGAGACGGGAAAGAGAGCGAAGCAGGAAGGGTGAGAGGGGAGGGAGGTGGGGGGGGGGTGGGGGGGCGACTGAGATAAGGGCGGTTCTGTTGAAGCCCCTAGGCTCTGATAGCCTTTTCCCACAAACGCCACCACGCAGCAGGCGAGGGAAGTGGGGGCTGTGAGGAGGAGCAGAGAAGCGGGGGAGAGCGGGGAACGAAGGAAGGGGGGGGAGGTCTGATCACAAGTGGCACCATACTGCTGGGGAGGGAGCACACTAACCTGGCGAAAACGTCAGGGGGAAGGGGCGTTCCCCAGCGGCAGCAGCGTCATGCCCGCTACAGCTTTTGAGTCGACCCAAAAGCAGCAGCATCATGCCCGCTGAAGCGACCCCTTTCTCTTTCTCACACCCTCCTTTCGCTCTCACACACCCTCCTTTCGCTCTCACACACCCTCCTTTCGCTCTCCCACACCCTCCTTTCGCTCTCCCACACCCTCCTTTCGCTCTCACACACCCTCCTTTCGCTCTCACACACCCTCCTTTCGCTCTCACACACCCTCCTTTCGCTCTCACACACCCTCCTTTCGCTCTCACACACCCTCCTTTCGCTCTCACACACCCTCCTTTCGCTCTCACACACCCTCCTTTCGCTCTCACACACCCTCCTTTCGCTCTCACACCCTCCTTTCGCTCTCACACACCCTCCTTTCGCTCTCACACACCCTCCTTTCGCTCTCTCACACCCTCCTTTCGCTCTCACACACCCTCCTTTCGCTCTCACACACCCTCCTTTCGCTCTCACACACCCTCCTTTCGCTCTCACACACCCTCCTTTCGCTCTCACACACCCTCCTTTCGCTCTCACACACCCTCCTTTCGCTCTCACACACCCTCCTTTCGCGGCAGGAGTACCATTCCCCAGCGGTAGCAGCGCCACCCCCCCTGCAGGCTGCAGCGGCTACTCTCACACTCTCCTTTCTCTCTCACAAACCCTCTTTTCTCTCCCACGCCGTCTTTCCTCCTCCTCAAACCCCCACTCCCCCACACCCTTTCCCTTCTCACCTGGCGAACACGTCCAGTGCGCCATTCCCGGCGGCAGCAGCGTCAACCCCGCCACAGCGGGCCATCATCGCTGCCTCACTATCATCTTTCCTGCCCAGACACGGCCCCTTTGTCCCCCTCACCTGCCGAACGCGTCAGGCGCGCCGATCCCCAGCGGCAGCAGCGTCACCCCCGCCACAGCGGCCCACTTTCTCAACCTCACAATCCCCCCTCCCCCTTCTCACCTGGCGAACACGTCAGGGGAACCATTCCCCAGCGGCAGCAGCGTCACCCCCGCCACAGTGGGCGGCAGCCTCAGCAACTCCGCAAGTTCCTCTAACGAGGGGCAGAAAAAATCCGCGGCGACATTCCCCAGGAGAAAGATCAGCGCCGCCAGCCACGTCAGCAGCAGCGCCGCGCCCAGAACCGGGGTCCCCTGGAACGTGCAGAAGTAGAACTGGAGGTAGTCGAGCTGCGCGTCGCTGCGGCAGGCGGCTTCCGCGCGCACGGCGGCGCACTCCTCCGCGGGCGAGCCGTGGATCCCCGCGGAGCAGTTCCCCGGCGCAGGGTCGCGCGGGAGCAGCGCGGAGATCGTGCGCTTGGGGGGAGGGGAAGCGGCGGGGGGTGCGGTGATGTTGGACGGGAGAGATGCAGATGATGCTGCAATGCTTGCCGTTGTGCTTATTTCGAGTGCCGACGACGAAAGCAACCGTCTGTGGGGACCGATGGCCGTCGCATCAGATACTGAAGCGAGCGCGGGAAACTCGCTACCGGGAAACGAAGACGCTGAAAACGAGGATGACGAAGAGGAGGAGGAGGGGGAGAAGGGGGCGGAGGAGTGAGACGGGGGAGCTTCTAACGAGGATGACTTGTCCGAGTGGGTAACGACGAGGGGTTGCAACGGGCTTCGCCATAGTAACAGTGCGATGGCGGTGATGACCAGCGTCAGCTTCACAGCCGTCGACGACCATCGCCGAGCCATCGCTAACGAGCTCGGGAAAGTTTCGCGAACCAAAAAACCACAGTACAGTATCTGTTAGAGCCACTGTCAGTCTTACTAGCGTGAAGTGAGCAACCAGTCAGAGTGTTTCCAACATTAATGCGACTCCATATCCTGCTCCTTCCTTCCACATGTGCAGCTGCTGCAGCGGAGAAAGCGGCTTCACCATACTACCAGTGCTCCTAGTCTCAACTTGTCACCTCAATATGGTAAGCGAGTTTTAACCCTAAAGATAGATCTACCCGCAACCTAGTCAAGATCTGACGGTACTGTAACGTGAAGGCAACCTAATGGTTACCTAACAATGAAAAATGGTTACCTAACGGTCACAAAATGGCTACCTAATCCCAAGAATGTGTCCAGCTGCATCGCTACGCCGAACTGGAAGCTCCTGAAGACAGTTTCTCGGAAACTGGAACGCAAAATGGTTTTGAAACTTGTCTCGCAACGGCTCTTAGCGCTAGTGATCGAACTGTAGCAACCCCATCTCATTTGTTAGGAAGGAAGGGCAAGACAAGCAGGCGCAATGAACGCCGGATATTCTGCTTGAAACGAAAAGAGTTTTATCCAGTCACAAGTTGGCGTCGCTATCGGAGCCCAGTCTAGAAGTCAAAGGCTCCATAACTAGCGACTCACAGTGCTAGCTCCGCTAGGACCAACCCGCCATGGATTGATTGAAAAGGTGAAGCTAAATGAATTTCCCTCACTACCTCTCTCAACGGGGATCTTTAGGCATGAGCCGGCTTCGACCGATCTCAACCGACTTCTGCTCTGCTCGGCAATCCCAATGCCGCGCGCATACGGAAGAGAGGAAGGCACGAGTAGCCGTGTCAGATGAAATTATCATACGCGGTTTTCGAGCATGACAGGCGTATGAGACAGATGCGCTGTACTCCACGCAGCGACACTGCGACAATCGCCAGTTTTTGGTGATTCGTCCGTGTACAGTGTACATTACAGTGCTTGGTTCAAGGTTTAAGGTTTTATTTCAGTCAACCTTTACACACAAACAGCATGAATGTAAGGAATCAAGATTCCTTACTGGGGCTCGCCACAGCGAGTACATGCAAACAGTTCGCATCCGCAGGCTCGGCCCTTGGTTCTCGCGCCAAAACAGCCTGCGTCGACCACGTCGGCCCCAACCTTACCCCGAGTCGCCCCGAACCCATTTTGACACCGTCACCCTCGGGACTACTGAGCCCTTGACTGATCCAACCCTCGAAATTCAACCCTGGTCAACTCGCACTATATAAACCCTATGCCTCATTATTCTAGACAACATTGTACTCACGTTCCCCTATAGTATTTTGCGCTATATTCATAACAGCTGGTATCAGAGCTACGTTCTGTTACGAAGAAAAATGAATAAGTGTTGACTAGAGAGAGAGAGAGAGAACAAGGGTATATACCTAAGAGTGTTGTACCCTCTAAGAGGCGACCCTATACATTCTATACAAATATGAGTAATACATATATTTGACACACCCCATAGACTGCATAGGGGCAAATCCTGAAAAAAGCAGCTCAGGGCGGCACTACTAGTCCAGCAACTGAGACAAGGGTCTAAAGACCAGTTAAAAAAGGAGTACAGGCAAGACAAAAACAAGACCAGGTGGGCACTACTAGTCCAGCCACTGGAGATGGACACGAGCCCACCCTGAGTACATATACAGATATATATATAGGACAGTACAAAGTCAAGGTCCTAGCAAGTGAGAGGCTACAGGAACTAGACCGAGCTGTACACAGTGCCGCTGATGATCTTTAGGCGCAAGTGCCTTTGTAAAGATATCAGCTGTGTTGGCACCAGAAGCCAAGTGAACTACGCGGGCCTGGCGGCGCTGCTGTAGCTCGCGCGGGAGGAAGTACCGCAGCTGGATGTGCTTCGCTCTGCCCTCAAGTCGAGGCTCCTGATACAGGAGGATCATGGCCCTGTTGTCAGCGTATAGGACCGGGGCAGAGCTAGGCCGCTCACCTAAGTCAGTGAGCAAGAAGGTCAGCCAGCGGAGCTCCTGTGCCGCCATGGCACCAGCGTAAATCTCGGCCTCACAGCTCGACTGAGCAACAGACGACGAGCGAGTGGATCTCCAAGATATAGCACCCGAACCAAGGCTAAAACAGTAGCCCTGCGACGACCTGAGCGTCTTAGAGTCGTCTGCCCAAGAAGCGTTTGTGTGCCCAGTGAGGACCACTGGCCTGCGTCCTCCTAACACTAACCCCATGCCTGATGTACTTGCTAGATATCGCAAAACCCTCTTAGCGGCCGACCAGTGCTGTTGTCGGTGTCTGCCAGTGGCCACAAAACGAGCCAGGATGCTGAGAGGGTACGCGAGATCTGGGCGAGTGCAGGTCATCAGGTACATGAGGCAACCCACCAGCTCTGCGTAGGGGCCGCTGGGCTCTACTGGCTCCTCAGGAACAGGAGCGGAAAGCCCGTGGTCTACAGGTAGAGGTGTGGGCTGTGAAGAGGAGAACTGAAGACCGAACCTCTGAAGGACCTGACGCACCAAGTGTGACTAGGTCAGAGTGATGGTGCGTGCTGCTCTGTCCCTAGAGATCTGCAGGCCAAGATAGCGACGCAGCTCTCCAAGGTCAGTGCAGGTGTGTCTCTTCAGCAGCTCAGTCTTCACAGAGGCCAGTGCTTCCCTGTCAGGAGTAGCGAAGACCAGGTCGTCTACGTAGACAAGGATGTAGAACGGAGTCTGGCCGGAACGCACAAACAGTGAAGGGTCAGCAGAGGACGGAAAGAGCTGCAGGTCTGCTAACGTGGCACGTAGCGTGTCGTGCCACTCGCGGGGAGCCTAACGCAGGCCGTAGACCGGGCGCCTGAGAAGCCACTGGGTCCCAGGAGGGAAGGTACCAGTGAAGCCCTGTGGTCGGCGCAGGTAGACCTGCTCGTGTAGGCTGCCCTGAAGAAAGGCAGTACAGAAGTCGAGGGAGTGAAGCTCGTAGTCACGTTGTGCTGCTACGTGTAGCAGCGCCCGAAGAGTGGTCATCTTCGGGGTCGGGGCGAAGGTCTGGAAGAAGTCAACCCCCTCGCGCTGACTGAAACCTCTGGCGGCGTAGCGCGCCTTGAAGACAGGCGGCTCTCCAGGGGGGCGCTTCACCTTGAAGAGCCACCAACCATCGACTACGTTCACCCCAGGCGGGGGAACAGCGTCGACGTAAGTGCCGGTGGACCTCCAAGATGCCATCTCCTGCTCCATGGCAGCTATCCACTGAGAGGCCCAAGGTCCCGAGGTGGCCTCAGCGTAGGTGCGAGGGGTCGGGATGTCGAAGGCGTCTGGGTCACCCTCAGGGACTAAAAGCATGGAGCAGAGATGGGGAGCAGCCTCGGACAGGAAAGCCAGCTCGTACTGCCTGTCCTCTAGGACGTCACTGCCAAGGGCAGGAGCACCCCGGACGGACGGAGGATGGGCAGGGTCAGAGACCAGAGCGGTAGCGTAGTCAAGGCGGCGGGTAGAGGCGAAGTCAGCGACAGCAGCGACAAGCGCGTCAAGGCGCGAGACAGGAACAGCAGGGTCGGTAACAAGAGAGGCAAGGACCTGAGGGACAAGGGGACGAGCAGAACGGAGGTAGTCAGAGAACGGAGGAGGTGCAACAGCAAGGGACGAGGGAGGAGGGGACGGGAGGAGGGGAGGACGAGACGAGCGGGAACGGAGCAACATAGGGTGGGTGGGCAGGACAGGAGAGACAGGACGAGCACGAGAGGGACGGCGAGCCCAAACGTGAGACGGAGGTGTAGGGTCAGGGGACAGCGGAGGAGACACAGGAGGGGAACGAGGAGGAAGACGGGCCGGAGACGAGTCGGGCGGCGGGAACACAGGACCGTAGACAGGAAGGTCAGCAGGCGGTGGGGGAGACACCGGCGCGCGGTCCGGGGAGGGAAGGCCGAGCAGGTGGAGAGCGGAGACCAGCGACGACGACGGCTGGGCCGGAACTCTCGGACCAGCAGAGGCGGAACGACCGTCGGCAGAACACTCAACAGCAGCACCCCCAGAACCAACACCCCCAGAGCGAGAACCCCCTCCAACACCAGCGGCACCCCCAGAAGCCGCAGGACGAACACCCTCCTCCACACCAGCACCCCCAGGGGCCGAGAGCGGTTGCGGCAGTGGCGGCGACAACTGCGGCGGCGGCGGCTGCGGCGGCAACAGCGGCAACGGCTGCGGCGGCGACGGCGGCGGCGGTTGCAGCGGGGTCGGCGACTGCGACAGTGGGGGCGGAGGCACCGGGGAAGGGGGACGCGGCAAGGACAAACCGGGGGTACCACCAGAGTCAGCAGACTCCTCAACGGGGACAACCGACGGGAGGGGAGTGACGTGAGAGACACCAGACGGGGCAGGATGAGGCGGGAGAGGGGCAGGGGCTACCGGGGGAGAGGGAGCAAGGAACAGGGGGGGGGCAACGGGGAGACCTCGATGAGGGAAGCGGCGGTAGAAGGAGACTGACTCGTCAAAGGTAACTTCACGAGAGTGGAGGAAGCGGTGAGACGGCGGGTGATAGAAAAGCCAGTCAGACGAGTCGAGGGGGAAACCGAGGAAGACACAGGGGACAGTGCGGGCAGTGAGCTTGTCCATGCCAGAGGCATGAACGTGAGCGAGGCAGCCCCAGACGTGGAACGCAGACGCGTCACCGTGGGACCCGGTCCAAAGGAGGGTCGGCGAAACCTTCGGCCGCTGGGAGCGGGGCCACAGGTTAAGCTGGTGAGCAGCGTAGCGAACAGCGAACGGCCACAGAAAATGGGATGCACCGGCATGGATCATGGAGGTGCGAGCCACCTCCATGACCAAACTGATGCGTCGCTTAGCGACCCCATTCTGCTGTGGGGAGTCCGGCAAGGTGAACGTCTGGGTGATGCCCTCCGCACGACAGAAGCGACCAAGGACACCTGAGGCAAACTCGCCACCACGGTCTGAGTGAAGACGCAAGACAGGGAGATCTCGGTGGACTACCGCAGAGACAAGCCAGGGGATGAGATCGTCAGGCACGTCGGCCTTTCGCTCCAGGGGAAAGACTGTGGTGTAGCGAGGGAAGTCGTCGACAAGCACAAGGAAGTAGCGCTCTCGACGCGGCCCATGGACGGGGGCGGGGCCCCAGACGTCCATGTGCAGGGTCTGCAGCGGCGCGGCGGTAGGGGGAAACGAGGAGGAGTGAGGGGCACGGCGAAGCCGACCCTCGATACAAGGCGTGCACAGTGGGGCGGGGGAGGAGGGAAAAGCGGGAAACGAATCGGGGAGACCAAGGACGAGACCGTGCTGGGACATGTGACGCAGACGCGGGAGCGCAGGGTGACCTAGGCGGTGGTGCCACAAGAGAGTCGGGTGAGTGAGGGACCGACAGGTGCAGGCAACAGCAACCTGGGAAGACGCAGCCACCTGAGGGGGCACCCCAGCCGGGGTGGTCACGGTGTCTGGGGTCAACATGCCGGACACCGGTTCCCGGGGGAACGTGGAAAGGGGGGCACCAGTGGCGGCCTCGGTACAGACAGCATACCGCTCGTGACCAGGGAACGTAGTGGTGACGCCAAGGTCCTAGAGGCAGCCGACACCAACTTGGTTCCTGGAGAACGAGGGGATATGCAGACCTGTGAGAGAGCCCGAAGGAACAGCCGGACAGGCAAGGGTGGTGGAACTGCGTGCGACTACTGGACCGCCGGAGGGGTCAGCAAGAGAAACTGCAGCAGG